CTCTCATCTCGCCTCGCCTCCTCCCTCCACCGCCCGATCACGCTCGAAGAGGCGGGACGGCTGGTAGGTGCCACTCGTCTTGCTGTGCGTCTTCCTGCTGGGCGTCGACAGCGAGCCCTCCTAGGCAGGCGCACCTTGGCCGCCGCTGTCGTCGAGGCCCGCAGGTATCGCCGTGGCCCTGTGCTGCCATTGCTGCGGCCGCCGCTTTATTTCGTGCGGGGCAGCAGCAGCGGCAGCATCGGCAGCAAAAGCAGCAGTAGTTTCAGCAGTAGTTCAGGCATGTAGAGTGGACGGACTCCTCTGGGCACGCTCCACCACCTCCTCCTCCTCCTCCTCCTCCTCCTCCTCCTCCTCCTCCTCCTCCTCTTCCTCCTCCTCCTCCTCCTCCTCCTCCTCCTCCTCCTCCTCCTCCTCCTCCTCCTCCTCATTCTCATCCTGATCCTCACCCCCCTCTTTCCCCCACCCCTTGTTGTGCCGGAGCCATGGCACGCGTGCCACTTGCACTCAATACTAATAATACGACTGGCAACACCAGCAGCACCAACAACATCAAAAAGAGTAATAGTAGTTGTAATAATAATAATAATAACCCCAATACGAATACTAATGATACGAATACTAATAATAACAATAATGCCAATGCTAATATTAATAATAGTACTACTACTACTACTACTAATAATAATAATACGAATACTAATAGTAGTAATAATAAGAATGATAGTAAAACTAATACTAATATTAATAATAATACTAATACTAATAATAATACTAATAACAACCTGAATAATACGAATACTAGGACTAGCAATAATAATAGTAATACTAATAATAATAGTAATAAGACTGGTGAAGATAGCAATAGTAGTAATAGCATCAATCATCATATTAATAATACGAATAATAATGATGATAATGATACTAACAATAATAACTTGTCGAGGGACGATGTTTCTGTCAGTTGTGGCAATTTGGGAGTGTTGTCTGATGATGTTTAACTGTTCGTCCAAAGCCTGCCTGTATGGGGACACGCCCGAGTAAATGTAGGACCCTGGGGGAGGGGGAAAGGGGAGGGGGATAGCCAAGTATTTCACGCGCCCTGTCACCTCCGGTAATCGGGGGTCGGCGGGCTTGGAAGATCTAACAACGCCGTTTGCCCCAAGTGCAGGTCGGTTTACCAGCATCTTGGGGATGACAAAGGGGGTTGCCGTCGCCAAAGAGGTCGTCGTAGAAACGACAACTTGGTCCCAACCGACCATCGGGTGTGGAGCCTCGCGATCGCTCACCTTTCTATATTATTCTTCCCCCTGGCCGTTATCCGCCCCTCCTCCGCCTCCCGCCTTCCTCCGCCTCCTCCCCCCCCTCTTCCTCAGCCCCGCATTCCGCGGCCATTTTGGCTCACGCCTTTCCATGGGCCCCTTGCTCCTGGACCTTGTCCCTCGGCGCACCCCATCCTGGGCGGGCGTGAGGGCCTTCGGGGGGGAAGGGAGGGGGGGGGCAGGGCTCTTGTCGGCGCGAACGAAATGGGTACGGAAAGCGTAGGTACAATGCCCAACAGCACTTCCTGCTCATTCTGAACAGGACTCGCTGCCGGTGTCGCCTCGGCCTGTGTACACTTGAGACAAAAGGCCGCCTGCCCAACAGCGGCCGCTGTTGGTTTGGGGCAACATTTGTTGGGCATTGTGCCCATGTTTTCCGTACCCATTTCGGGCGTCCAAATTTTGGCTCACGCAGGTGCTGGCACGGGAGGGCGCAGCCCCTCTCCGCCCCGCGCGCTTTGCCGCGGCCCGCCGTGCCTCGCGGGAACTGGGCGCGGTGGTCCGCGGACCGCGCCGTGGCCCATCGCGTGGGCGGGCTCAGGCACCAGGCCGTCCGCGGACAGCTGGCGGCGGCGGGGGCGGCCCTGGAGACCCTCACCGGCGACGCAGAGGTGGCGCAGCGGCTCAGAGCTCTCGTGCCGGCCCCGTGCGACGCGGCGTGGAGCGCACTTGGTTGGAGCAATTGTGTGTGTGTGTGTGTGTGCGTGTGCGTGTGCGTGTGCGTGTGCGTGTGCGTGTGCGTGTGCGTGTGCGTGTGCGTGTGCGTGTGCGTGTGCGTGTGCGTGTGCGTGTGCGTGTGCGTGTGCGTGTGCGTGTGCGTGTGCGTGTGCGTGTGCGTGTGCGTGTGCGTGTGCGTGTGCGTGTGCGTGTGCTGTGTGTGTGTGTGTGTGTGTGTGTGCGTGTGCGTGTGCGTGTGCGTGTGCGTGTGCGTGTGCGTGTGCGTGTGCGTGTGCGTGTGCGTGTGCGTGTGCGTGTGCGTGTGCGTGTGCGTGTGCGTGTGCGTGTGCGTGTGCGTGTGCGTGTGCGTGTGCGTGTGCGTGTGCGTGTGCGTGTGCGTGTGCGTGTGCGCGTGTGCGCGTGTGCGCGTGTGCGCGTGTGCGCGTGTGCGCGTGTGCGCGTGTGCGCGTGTGCGCGTGTGCGCGTGCGCGTGTGCGCGTGTGCGCGTGTGCGCGTGTGCGCGTGTGCGCGTGTGCGCGTGTGCGCGTGTGCGCGTGTGCGCGTGTGCGCGTGTGCGCGTGTGCGCGTGTGCGCGTGTGCGCGCGTGTGCGCGTGTGCGCGCGTGTGCGCGTGTGCGCGTGTGCGCGTGTGCGCGTGTGCGCGTGTGCGCGTGTGCGCGTGTGCGCGTGTGCGCGTGTGCGCGTGTGCGCGTGTGCGCGTGTGCGCGTGTGCGCGTGTGCGCGTGTGCGCGTGTGCGCGTGTGCGCGTGTGCGCGTGTGCGCGTGTGCGCGTGTGCGCGTGTGCGCGTGTGCGCGTGTGTGCGCGTGTGCGTGCGTGCGTGCGTGCGTGCGTGCGTGCGTGCGTGCGTGCGTGCGTGCGTGCGTGCGTGCGTGCGAGCGTGCGTGCGTGCGTGCGTGCGTGCGTGCGTGCGTGCGTGCGTGCGTGCGTGCGTGCGTGCGTGCGTGCGTGCGTGCGTGCGTGCGTGCGTGCGTGTGCTGTGTGTGTGTGTGTGGGTGTGGGTGTGGGTGTGGGTGTGGGGTGTGGGTGTGGGTGTGGGTGTGGGTGTGGGTGTGGGTGTGGGTGTGGGTGTGGGTGTGGGTGTGGGTGTGGGTGTGGGTGTGGGTGCGGGTGTGGGTGTGGGTGTGGGTGTGGGTGTGGGGTGGGTGTGTGTGTGTGGGGGGGGGGGGGGGGAAGGGGGGTCTCCCTCCACGCCGACGCCGTCGGGATCGTCGACGTGGTTGCCGCGGGCGCTGCAGTGCTTCGCAGTGCCCAGCGTAGGCCCCGCCTCGAAACACGGCGCGAGGAGATCGTCCCAGGCACCTTTCGCCTTTTCTGCGGAGGCGGCGGAGTTCGTGCCTGGCGTCTGGAGCATGCTGCCCGAGGGGCTCAATTTCTGCATCGTGATGGCTCCGAGTTCTCCGGGGCTGATCGCGAGGCTGAACTCCCGATGCGTGCGGTTCTTCCTGAGCGCACGGATCTCATTGCGCGTCCTCCTCCTGCTGGTGCTCTGGCGGTCGCTGCTGCCACCGCCAGCGGCTGGCCCGAGGAGGAAGAGTCTGGTGATGTCCGGAATGTCGGGGTGCTGCGTCTAGGGGGGGGGCTGGAAGAGTCCCCTGCCGCGGCGTCCGAGGATGGCGCCGAGGTGGGCTCCGAGACCGACAATGTTCAGGAGGAAAAGAAACACACAGACGCAATTAATCCTCGATTCCCCAGAAAATATGGGAAAATATGGGAAGTGGGGGGGAAGACAGAAACCCAGAAAATATGGGAAAATATGGAGAACCATTTTATTGGTGTGTATTTATTTGTGTGTCCTTGGGCCCCTTGAAATGTTCTGAGTGATTCGCATGGTGGTGTGCAAGGTGGCGCCCTCCATGCTGGCGCTCCCGAAGCTGGTCGCGGAGGTGCCGCTTTGCCTGATGCCGCAGAGTTCATCTCGAGCAGCAAGATTGCTGCGGTGCTGGGGGACCATAGCGTGACCTCCGATGTGGTCTCATGCGGTGCGGGCGTTGGTTAAGGAATGTGCCCAGGAGGCGCCAGACCCTGGAGGATTCCTTACCTGATGAGGGCGGCGGTAATATCCATAGCCAGTCCACGATGGGTGCTCCACCAGCTTCCAGACCCTAGATTCCTTTTCCAATGGTTCCTCATTCAAGGCCCTCACCGTACCTGCAGCCTTGCTCCGCTCCGCGTTCTCGGCGGATGGGGCCAAGACCGTCCCGCGCGGCGGCCGCAGCTGCCTGAGGCTGGCGGGCCGCCGCGGCTGGGCCCCCCCGCGCTCGCGCAAGGGCCAGGCCTAGAAGGTGGTGGCCGAGGCTGAGAGCGCAGATGCGACGGAGCAGGAGCTGCACGGCACGGGGACCGCGCATCGTGGCGTTCGGCCTTCTCGTCCTCTCCTGCGGCACCCGGGTGTCCTCCCTCGGCCTCGCGCTCCTGCTCGTGGCCGTGGTGATGCGTTTCTTCCCCGCGGCAGGTGCACTCGGGCCTCGGGCGGCTCTACCGCTCCCCTGAGTGTGTGCAGGCAGCTGCCCGCCGATGTGAGCAGTTCATCATCCTCGTATCCTCCTCTCCCTCCTCCTATTGTTCATCGGCCTTGCCCCGCCCGCCTTCCTCAGTTCGTCCTCCTGCCTCCTCCTCCTCCTCCTTCCACCAGTTCTGCCTCCCCCCGCATGCCCACTCGATCGGGGGCTCGGTCAAGTGAGCGTGCCGTGTCTCTGGGTGAATAGAGACGGGTCGACTGGCGTGCTGGAA